AGTAGCAATAAATGTCTCTAGTGCTCAGACCATGGTCTCTAAATACCAGTTCTCATAAAGAGAAACCAGGACTTCTTAGAGATATAGCTAATGCCCAGTCTGAGGCAAGAATTCTGTAAGATGAACTTGTGGGCATGTTATTATAGCAGAAACAAGGACACTTTTAAGGAGTGCTCAGTGGCCAAAGACAAGACATGTTGAGCATAACAAAAAATAGTGATTAAAATCAATTGAAACCCATATAACATATTATTTAAAAATTCATTATGTGGCCATTATTAAAAAATCAAAAAACAATAAATGCTAGTGTGGATGTGATGAAAAGGGGACATTTATAAACTGTTGGTGGGAGTGCATTAGTACAATGTCTGTGGAATATTGGTATGGAGAGTTCTCAAATAACTAAAAGTAGATCTGCCGTTTGATCCAGCGATGCCGTCACTAGGTGTCTTCCCAAAGAAACCTATGTCATTATACAAAAAAGACACCTGCACTTGGATGTTTATCACAGCACAGTTCTCAATTGCAAAGATGTGGAATCCACCTAAATGCCCATCAGTTGATCAGTGGATAATAAAAATGTGGTATATATACACCATGGAATATTATTCAGCCATAAAAAAGAATGAAATAGGACGGACTTGGTGGCTCAGCCTCTAATGCCAGCACTCGGGGAAACTAAGGCAAGTGGATTGCCTCAGCCCTCGGGTTTGATATCAGCCCGGGCAACTTGGCAAGACCTCATCGCTATGATAAATCAAAAATTAGCTGAACATGGTAGCACACGCTTATAGTTCCAACTACTTGGAAGTCTGAGGCGGAAGGATTGCTGGAAGCCAGCAGGTCAATGCTGGGTGACTGTGAGTGTGCCACTGCACTTTAGGCTGGGCAACAGAGTGAGACTTCAACTCAAAAAATTAAAAAAAAAAAAAAAAGAATGAAATAATGTCTTTTGCAGCAACTTGAATGGAACTGGAGAACATTGTCCTAAGTAAACTAACACAGCAACAAAAAACCAAACACCACATGGTCTCACTTATAAGTGGGAGCTAAACTAAAATGGACATTGGAGACTTGGAAGGAGGAGGGTGGGTGAAGGTGGAAGGATGAAGTATCACTTGTCGGGTACAATATGTACAGGTGGAGATAATGGGTACACTTAAAGCTTAGACTTCTGTGCCATTATACAATATATCCATGTAACCCAAAACCATCTGTACCTCCTAAAGCTATTGAAAAATTTTTTTTAATTGTAAAAAAACAGAAAAAAGAAAAAATCCATATGTTCCTGATGATGCTACCAAGTGAACTAAGTAAATTTTGGAAGTTTCTGGCTTCCCCTACCCTACCCTCCTCTTGCCTCGGTCATCTGTGGTAGTTGCTAACACTCCAAAAATCATTGTTTTGAAAACTGGTAAATGACAAGAAAGAAAAACACATTTATCTTGCTTTTCTTTTTCTTTTATTGTTTTGAGTCAGAGTCTCACTCTGTCGCCTAGGCTGGAGTGCAGTGGCACGCTCATGGTTACTGCAGCCTTGATCTGCTAGGCTCAGGTGATCCTTCCACCTCATCTTTCCTAGTAGCTAGAACTACAGGCATGTGCCACCAAACCTGGCAAATTTTTTTTATCTGTCGTAGATTCGAGGTCTTGCCAAGTCGCCCAGGCTATTCTCAAAATCCCTGGGCTCAGGCAATCCTCTCACTTCCCAAAGTGCTGGGATTACAGGCGAGAGCCACCGTCCCTGGCCTTTTTTTCAAATCATGTTTTATGAAAACCAAATCACTGTAAAAAAAAAAAGGGGGGGGTTCCTTTTAAAGAAAACCAGTTTAAAATGTATAGAAGGAATGATAGAATTTGAAAATTACTATATTGCTATATCTAATGAAATAATGGGACTAGACAATGATCATTAATAGATAACATTAGATGGGAGCTGCTTAATGGGTAGACTGGGTTGACAATTGATCTATGGATCAGTTTTAACTTTACTAAGACAGATGGTATATCTTTCTAGATACCATGGAACAGGAATTCCAAACCACCCAGCCTCAGGTATTATTGTCAAAGGAACTGAACCTGAATTTAATTGAGTCTCTAGGTATAATTACCAGTTTACAGGAAAATAGGAATATAGGAAAAATATCATAAGAAAGTCTACAAGAAAAGTGTTCTATTTCCTCCAACAAATAAATGTCATTAAAACTGTGGCTCAAAGAACTGTTGAGGATATTAAAGGAGACTTAATGTCCACAACCAAATGGAATATGTGGATCTAGTTTGCATCTTGATTCAAACAAACTAATTGTTTAGTGAGCGTGCCACTGCACTCCAGCCTGGACAACAGAGTGAGACTCCGACTCAAAAAAAAAAAAAAAAAGATAAAACAGGATAGACACAATGTTGATAATTGTCAAAAGAATGATAAAGTTTCATTTTATTGAACTGTTTTATGACTTTCTTTGTTTTCTTTTTTTCTTTGACTTTCTTTGTTTTACAAAGTTTAAACATGAAGAATGTATTTTGACACTGAAGTGAAAGTTCTAGCTATGAAGAACACTGAAAATATGACTGAGGTCGGCCACTTAAAATCGTACTAGTGGGTTTTGCTGGCATTATTACTGTTGTGAAGAAATATTTTTATCTTGTGCTTTCTAATCTTGTCTGAGCACCTTCCTCTGAGAGCTGGTGATTTCAGTGTGTAAAATAAGAGCTTGGCATTTGTAGCCCATTTTGATACATGGCAGGCTGGAAAGACTTTCATCCCAGCAGGGATTTGATTGTATTCATCCTTTGCACTCCTGTGAAAACTGCATGACGATCAGGAAGAACACTGCTACCCACCAGCTGTTTACTCTGCATCAAGCAATGTCGAGGGGTGCTCAAGGCCTGCCTCTGCCTTCTAAAGAGCCATGTCCTCTGAGGCTCATAAGGCCAACTTCACCAGTTCTCACCTTCTCTATCCTTCACTATCTACATGTCGTTCCACAGAGTCATCAGGAACCCTGTAAGAAAGACATCTTCCCTTGTAACATATATTTACTCAATACTGCCTTTTTAAGTCCTTCTAGCCTATCTGCAGCTCACAGATGCCAAGTGCTGATTCATAGCATGTGCATGGGTGATGCATTGCAACTCTGAGGAGAGTGCCTGGTAGTGCAACACACACGCCTTAATAATTGCTTTTCTGTACTGTGTCATTGAAGATATGTGCTACCAGAGCTTGTCATTTGATAAAGAAATTTTTACAATAATTCATTCTATTTTTTCTTCAAGTATATTTATCCTCAGCCTGAAGACTTAGTTTAGTTTAGTTTAGTTTTTTAAAGCGTCTTGGCAGTTGTGTGACTTATACCTGTTTTTGCTACCAGGAATACAACTTTGAATGATGACTGTTGGTGTGCCTCTGCTTTTAGTGACAAAATTAGTTATTTTGTAGTCTAAGAATTATTCTACAGTTGTCAGAAAAGCTAGATTGGCTTGTTAGAAGTAACAGTGCATGATGCCGGAGCTTCAATGTCTGTGCTTGGCTAAGTTTCTATCTAGTTGATGGTCTAGGAACTAGAGACAAGTGGATTGCAAGTCCAGTAATGTCAGACTTATAATACATATCAGACTTCTTTACCATGCTTCCACACTATCTGCTTTTATAGAATATTTATCTTTAAAGGTTCACTTTTTTAAAAAAGAATGTTTGGATTCACTTTTTTCTTTTTAAATTTTAAAGTTGTGGGGTACAATTCAGGGTAAGGTATGCAAATGTTCATTATGCCAGTACCCTTGTTGATGAGGTGTTCCTTCCCTCCCCCGGTAGATTCCCACTAGTGCCAATTGGATTCACTCTTTACTAGTGCCAAAAGTCTTATTCATCATTTAGGTTTATAACATTATTTCATCTTGTGTTTTCACTTTTGTTGTGTTTCATTTTTGTGAATTCAAAGAGTAATGTTATGTAATAGTAACAGTAAAGGATGTCAGTTTAAATGTAAACAGTAAGCCAGGCATGGGGGCTCATACCTGTAATCCTAGCACTTTGGGAGGCTGAGGTGAGAGGGTTGTCTCAGTCTAGGGGTTCAAGACCAGTCTGGGCAATTTGGCATAGCCTAGTCTCTACAATAAATCAAAAAATTAGCCAGGTGTGGTGACATGTGCCTTTAGTTCTAGCTACTTGGAAGGCTGAAGCGGAAGGATTGCCTGAGCCTTGGCGGTTGAGGATGTGGTGATCTGTGATCATGCCATTGCATTCCAGCCTGCAACAGAGCAAGACTTCAACTAAAAAATACATGAATAAATAAATACATAAATAGATGTAAACAGTAATGCTTCCAAAATGTGAAAATGTATTTATTGTGACAGACTTTATCAAACTAAAAGTTGATGAAGACCAACATGCTGTTAATATGAGGTTTACAGAGAGAAAATGATAGAATCTGGCAATTTCTAAATTTCAGATTTCTTTAAATTATAATTTATCTTACATTTTTGAAATGCATGACCAAAAGAAAAAAACTTTGTTGCTTTATGTTCGTGAAACCACCCAGTTACTTGTAGACCCCTAGATAGACCAGACCACTGGACCCACCGTGGTGGTTTCCGATTCATACACTAAAGAGCACCACCTTCACACAAGAATCTGGGGGACGTTTGCATACAATACATTTTCCTTCAATGCCAAGGAGTTCTCAGACTCTGAAATCTGCCCATGTAGGACTGTGTTTCTCAAAGTGTGATTTTTAGAACCCTTGCATCAAAATCACTTGGGAAATTTCTTTAACAGGTATATTCCTAAGGCCTCATTCTAGGCTTCATAGCAGACTCTCTGGGCATGAGGCCTGAAGGTCTGTGTTTTAAACAACTTTCCCCAGTGAATCTGGTAAGAAAATGGTTTAAGTACTGCTTAGGGTTTCTGCAACAGAGTAAGAATGTCTCTGTTTGATCCATATGACACATTACTTTTATAATTTATGATGAATATTTTTCCTTCTCCTTTTTTACCCTCAGGACTTGTCAGTCACATCTGTAACATGTTCACTGAAACTGCCACACTGTGCTTGGATATGGACAACAAAAACAACGAGTTGGCAACCACACTGCTGTTTTCCCTGCTTGATATTTTGCACAGCATGCTGACCTACACATCCAGTGTCGTACGGCTGGCTCTGCAGGTTAGAGGATCTCTTCCTGTGTCTCAAGCAGCCTTGCTCCATGTTCTTACATTCTCCTTTTCCTCATCGTCCTCCAATGTGTCTTTATTTATTTATTTATTTTTAAAGAATATGTCGTTCTATAGAGAGGGTCCACCAAAAAACCACCCTTGGTTGACCAGAGAATTTGATCACAAAATCTTTATTTTTATTATTTAAAAAGCAGGATTTATTGAGAGGACAGAAAAGCTCCCACAGTGGGGGAAGGTTGCCCTTATCACAAAATTTTAAGCAAAAGAAGAGAGCTTTACTAAGCAATTACTTGGTAAGCTTTAGTTGGAAAACCACTACGGACCAAGGAGACCATTTGCTGTAGGCATATTCTAGGGTTGGCCAAGCACTGTACAGCCTTTCATATCCAGAGACAGTGCTCCAGCCCCCCTCAGCAGGATGTGTCAGCTTGCTAGGAACAATGGATTGTAGGTCCACACACACATGCATATATATGCAGCACATAAACTCTCTTACTTGCTTTTCCTTATGACTGATATGGAATTGCAAGATCGTTTTGAGGATTATAAGTGTATTCAGTGATCATGGAAAATGTCCATTTGTCCTGAACTGTAACCTATATTTCCTTAGCATCCTGCTCTATGAAAGGAAGGAGATGTGGTTTTATAGAGCACTTTCCGTGTTAGGTGCATCCCCAAGCCTCATTCATTTAATGCTCTGCCTAACCAACTAAGTCAGATGATGCTTACTTAGATCAAGTGAAAGACCCATGGCCAATGTGAATTCATTGTTATATTTTAAGTCCTGATAAAATTGCAAGAGATGTATATCAATTGGTAGCAACCTAGCTTGAATAAATACAGACGCTGAAGCTGAAACTAGACTGCTTTGATATCTTGCCAGGATTCACAGTAGCAGAGCCAATATTGAATCCCTAGATCCCGGTATAGTGTCTGCTATTCATCATCATGATTAATGGTATCTTTTATCCACAGTGAAGCTGGTTAAGTATTAAGCTTGTCTAATATGGTTTAATAAATAATTCCAAGATCCCTTCAACAAATATGGTAGCTAGTTACTAAGGTTACTAAGTATTAACCCAAACTGTAATATCAGTAGATTAACATGGATTTTGAATTACCTATTTGCTTTTTATTTACTCATCTATAATTCTAAATTAACAGTAAAACATTGTTAAGTACTTATGGAATCCTGAATTTTGTATTTCTTCTTTTCCTTTATTTTCTAATACGTCTCACTTCAGAGAACACGGTTTCTTTTTTCAGTTTCCACAGTGGTAGTTTTATGTAATTCTTTGAGATGTAGTCAATTCTTACTCTCACAAGATGGCTTGATAACAATCTGTAAAGGATTATGTCTTGTAGATTGCAGATTTTTTAAAAAGATCAGAAGTTAAAAACCTCCAGAGCAATAGAAATCCTCTTTTATTACGAGTGATTAGGTAGATATTCTGGGTGTGTTTAAAAGAAACCTCCTTAATACAAAATATTTTCCAATTTGCTAGCTTGCCAGCAGATACCTGTTTTTAAATTTTTTTTCATATTATTCAACAGCACTGTATAATTTACTGCTATCATCTTCTAAATTCTGCCTCATAATATCTGCACATATTGCTTTGGGCCTTGACAACTGACTTTGATCTTCATAACACCTGGTGTCAATCTGAAGGTGATAGAGTCCTTGAGGCTAAATTAGGAGAAAGAGTTGGGAAAAGAAATGGAGTGTGAATCAAAGACACATACACCTGGAACATTGAACTATAAGTACTTTTCAAAACCCTAAGTCACCTCTTCCATTTATAAACATACTTCTCACACTGAGGATTCTTTTGCACTTAAAACCTATATCTACTTCTAATAGAAACTTCTTTAAAGTAGAAGAATTGAGGGAGACCAGTGTGTAAAATTATAATAGTGCTTAGATTTATGAAGCACTTTTCTTTCCTGGGGAGGATAGCATGATAAAAGGGTGTATACCGGGAGTAGGGGCAGGCAGGTAACAGAATCTTCATCAGGAGTTCATACCCTGCCCCCAAGCTGCCCTGTCCAGAACTGGTCCCAGTTTCACCCCCAGAGTGTCTCGTATAAAAGATACAGAGGCAGAGACACATAACATGCTCGAGATTCACTGGTGTGGGGGCACATGGGCCTTGTAGGCCAGAAAGCCTTGGATTCAAATTCCAGACTCATTACTTTTCATCTGTATGACCCTGGGCAAGTTACTGCACCCACGTATTGGTTTCCCTATATGTAAGGTAGATATGATAACTACTCTGCAGGGTTATTATGAACCTTCAATAAGAGAGTATAGCATACATAATTATATATAAATATGAAGTGTCTTACATACACCTGGCCCAAGGAAGGTAACCAATAAGTGGTTGCTGTATCATGAACAGAAACAAGAAGAAAAAGGCTCACCATGCTTATAGAGGCTTCCTGTGAGCTATGATTTCCTCATTTCTGCATCTGGGTCCATGAGAGGGCACTCAGTTCATATTTACTGACTAGACTGACTCTGAGTAGGCTTATGAGTTATTAATTCTTGTTTTATTTTTCATTTATGAGTCTAGCATAAGACATAAGACACCTGTAATTTCAGCAAGGATCAAGAGAGAAAGGGTGTTCACACTCAAGGAGCTTACAGTTTAGTAGAGAAGACTACAAATATCCAAAGAATGAAGCAAATACTCTTATCACATATGTGAAAATGGAATGGTGAGAAGGTGCAGGGGGTTGCAGAGTGAATAATGGGAGAAGAGGGCCAGACCCAGGTTTGAGGTTAGGGAGGGCTTTTCTAGGGAAGACATATTTGTTATTATAATCCAGGTCTCCTGACTTTCCAATCTGGGCCTTGTCTATCATTTCTGAGGTGTTGTAGGAAAGCTTGTTATATTAATTCTTCTGATAGTAGAATGATTAAACTGCTGTTGATTTGCAGTTATACCAATATTGTTGAAAGACTGAAATGTGGCCACTGAGTCTTTCTTAGTCTCATACACACAAAAAGGCTATCTGTGGGTGGGGGCTGTAGTCTATTTATAGTATCTCTTATAATGATCCAGTCTGACTCTTCCATGCCCTTCTTTTTATTGTTCTTCCCCATAAACTACCCTCTGTCTGGTTCTGAATGCAGATGAGATTATTCTGCCATGGTTCATAGTCCCGATACAATCTACTCTTCCTTTGAAAGCTTCAGTGACACGTCATTATCTATGATACAACTTTCTGACTCCTTGCCAAAGCATTCAAGGCCTTGTATGTTCCAGCCCCAGGGCTGCCTGTACCCCTACCAAACAGTTGCATTACCCTTTTCTAAATGGGCCTATACCTTCTCACCTTATGCCTTTTCTCATGGAATTGTCAGCTCCTGAAATTTCTGCAATTCATCTTACTCCCTGTGGACCTCATCCTTATCATCTAAATGGTAGTCAATTGTCACATTCTCCTACTTAATTCTGCCTCCTAGACTTTGTTTCCACCTCTGTTATAACAGTTTCCACGCTTTGACTTTTGCATGGTCATTGAGAAGCTTGTCATCCTTTTCATTGAACCATGAGATCCTAGAGAGAGGGGACTGAGTCATACTCATCTTGGCATCATGAATGTGTACATGATAGCATTTGGGGAGTGTGACGAGTGCTGAGTAGAATTGCTCCAGACCACACTATTGACGGTTATGCTCCAGTGTTAAACCTGCTTGATGTATTAGACAGGAACTACTTGAGGAATTGACTCTTTCTTGTTCTCTACAGATGCCTTACCCTCCATGTTTATTCAGCAAACCTCTATTGAGTATGTACCTCTGTGCACTAGATTCATGTAGCAATGCTAGATGTAAGAGAGTTACATTCTACCTGGTTTTTCTTTTCCTTCTGAGCAGTTAACTATATTCTGTTGTCTCATTTTAGGTAATGATATATTGCTGTTTAATATCCAATATGGCTCATAAGTTGACATTCCTGGTTTTATATGTTTAAGACTATTAGAGTTATATTCTACCCAAAGATCCTCCCTGAGATCAATATTCATATACCCAGTAGCTTGCTCAATATGACCACTAGGATGCCCCACAGTCCAAGCTGAACTCGGGATTTGCCTCCCAAACCTACTTCCTGCCAGCAAGCTCTGTCTCCCTCTCCCTGCCATGCAAACTAGAAACCTGGAAGTCATTCTTGATATTTCCTTCTTTTTCATATCCCACATCTAATCTGTCACCAAGTAATGTCGAGTTTTGCCTTACATATCTGACAAATCCAATTACTTTTCCCAAACCCTGCTGCTACCATCCTAGCCCAGACTAGCTTCTTCTCTTGCCTAAACTGTAAACAACTAGGAGTGGTGGGAGTGGCTAAGTACTTAGGGTAGCTGGGAATGGAGTAGGTTCACACACAACAATGACAAAAGGCAGTGAGTTCTGGAGGGGTCAGTGCAATCAGAGGCAAAGGCAGAGGACCTGGATGGAGAGGACAGTGGTGATGGCATGGCAGAGACAGGAGCCCTGTGCAAAATGCACACAGAGGGTACAGATCCAGAAGTCAGAGGCTGACCTCAGGGAGTATGATGTTGATCAACTGGAGAGAAACTGAAAGGAGAGGCAGACTGGGGGCTCTGCATTTGTTTTTGGTCTTCAATGCTTACTGCTGTACCCATGTAAGAGTCTCTGTTGCACAGAGCTTCCATTGTGGGCAAGTATTTTCGTGAGGAGAGTTGAATTTCTTTCTTTCTTTTTTTGAGTCAGAGTCTCACTCCTTCACCCAGGCTGGAGTGCAGTGGCACGCGCAAGGCCACCACAGCCTCAACTTTCTGGGCTCAGGCAATCTTTCCACCTCAGCCTTCCCAGAGTTGAATTTCTAATGTATTCCTGCTGGGTATGTTCCTGTTGTGCAAAGCAGCAGCATTCTCTTTCTTCTGGAACCCCTGGCAACTTCTCAAGGAGGTGGCTCGTGAATACTGGTGAGCAGGGTCTGGATGTTTCTTGCTGACTATAGCAAACGGCTATGCAGATCTTGGAGGATCTGGAGGACCACTGGATATCCTGACAGGAAAAGTACCACAGTGTGTACTTGTTCTGTTACCCTACCTGCATGTGTGTCTGGAGTAGAAGCAATGCCATCAGGCCCCTCATGACTACCTCGGTCCTGATTTACAAGACTGTCTTATCTTTCTCAAGGGATCATCAGTCCACTCTAATGGGTAATTTGGTAATGTGACAAGGCTGATATTCCATGTCAGATCATGCTTCAGAGGACAAGGGACCAATGGCCAAGATTCAGATAGGTTCAGGCCTTTGGAGAGCACTGTATGTTTGTTTTCTGGGAGGAAATTCTCCTTTTCTGAAGCAGTCAGTCAGGAAGGAGTGGGGAGAGGGAAGCTCCAAGCTAATGATCGCCATTGTTCCCATTTAGCGACAGAGAGGTGCAAGTTGTTAAAAGACAGGTGTCTGATTTTTCAGTCAAGTCCTTCTGAACCAAAGAAAGCAGTCAACTGAAATTCTGTCCATAGGCCTGAAGTGCAGAAGAAAACAAGGCATTTATGAGAAAGGACCCTGGAGTCTAGGTTAATGACCCCAGGTGAGGCAGCCTACGTCCTGTTCTGTGGGCTCTTGCAAATGTAATTATCTTGGTTTTGTTTCTTCTGAGTAAAAGTAAAAGCAGAGAGAATGAGTGTGTTTGAAATGTGTACATACTATAGCAAACACAAATAGTACCATTTTTTCATTATAAAGTTATTCCTCTGTGATAGAAAACTCCTTTGGAATTAGTTCTATACACCTCCTGGGAGAAGGCACACTTAGCATAAAAACCATTCACTTGGGCAGGCGAGACCTCATCTCTACAATAAATAAAAAAAAAATTAGCCAGGCGTGGTAGCATGTGCCTGTAATTCCGGCTACTCAGAAGGCTGAGGCGGAAGGATCGCCGGAGCCAAGCAGGTCGAGGCTGTGGTGACCGGGAATGGCCACTGCATTCCAGTCTGGGCGACAGAGTGAGACTCCAACTCAAAAAACAAAACAAAACAAAAAAAACCATTCACTCATTTCTTATTTTCATTGCAGTTATGCCTAAGGACTGTAGACCCACATATGAAGCCTGTTCATGCTTGATACTCTGGACACATATTCTAGATGATGTCTGAGCATGTGTATGCACATAGAGATGGAAAGTATAGCAGAATGCATTTGGTGTGTGTATCATATCTTGTGCATAAAACAGCCCAAAGGAGATGAGCTTTTGTGTCTTGGAGTCAGATAACCTGGGTTTATTCTCTGACTTTGTCACCCCATTATCTGTGAGACTTTGGACAAACTACTTAGCATCTCTAAAGTTCAGTTTTCTCCAGCACCTCATCTCAGGATGCTTGAAATGATAAAGTGCTTTTCCACCTCGGTAGGTGAGACATCACCATCTTTCCTCCAGCAGCAGTTCATGTTATTGCTTTATCTTTTTGCTGTCCATGCAACCTCTGGAACCTGAGCTGGTGGCAGTGGCAAAATGTATACTTTGTCTTGTGTTATAACAAGACATAATATCTCTTCTTGGACCTCCGTCTGTACTCGAGGAGACCAAGGCGGAATGCTTCCTTAGCCCCTTTTATCTGCTAGGCCGAGTGGATCTGTCTTCCAAAACCAAGCTGACTAATCACCAAGACCCTCTTTTATTTCTCTTCCCCTTTGCAGTCCCAGAAGTCTGGCTCGGGAGGGGACACTCAGGCTGCGGAGGACCTGCTGCTGCTCAGCAAACCCCTGACAGACCTCATTAGACTGCTCATTCCGCTGGTGAGAGCTCACCTGTTTATATGTCTTTTAGAACATTACTGAGGTTGAACTAATTTTATTTGAATTTCATGATTTCTTGAGTCTCTGTGTTATTTTTATTCCCTTCAAAACCAGAGCCAAAAGAACTTCCAGAATATTATTTGGTCTGGAAATACTAAATTTCTATCTTATTTTAAAACTAGGTGACTTATCATTCATTTAAATAGATATTTAAGTAAGGCAGAATCTCAAATCTAATTACTTTCTTAATAATTGTGAGGTTAAAAAAAAAGAAGAAAGGAAAAAAATTCAACAAATGAATTCCAAGAAGGCAGAAGAAATCATTATGGGAATCAGTTCTCTTTCAAAAAGGTATTTAGAGTTATATTTGCATTCAGGACTCCCCAGAAATGCAGAAGCACAGACACAGACCTAGGGCATACCCCCTCAATCTTGACAAAAATGGAATGAAATAAATGAAATCAAATATAAACAATTAATGCTATTCAAGACCACCGAATATTCAGAAACTCTCAACAGACATTAAGAGTTTGGATGAACTAAACAGTTTTTATTTTTATTTTTTTTTGAGTTGCAGTCTTTCTTTGTTGCCTAGGCTGGAGTGTAGTGGCACAATCATGGCTCACTCCAGCCTCAAATTTCTGCGTTCTGGTGATCCTCCTGCCTCAGTCCCCCAAATAGCAGGGACTACAGGCACACGCCACCACACACCTGGCTAATTTTTTTATTTTTTTTTTTGCAGAGTCAAGATCTCACTATGTTGCCTAGGCTGGTCTCGAGCAGTCCTCCTGCCTAGGTCTCCAATTGCTGAGATTACAGGTGTGAGCCATGTACCATGCTGAGTTTTAAACAAACTTAAAGATGACTCAATGTATGTACACATGACTCCCATCCTTGGAGAAAGCACTCAGCCAGAGGGGTCAGTTGATGAAATTCCATAAACGTCATGACAATCTCTCCAGATTTGTGGCTCTAAGGACTAAGGATACAGGGAACCCAGGGAAATGCAGTCTCCACCCTTCATAGAGCCAGATAGACAGCTCTTCAGCTCTGTAAGGACTGCTAGGATTTGACTTTATACCTTATGGCTCAAAATAAGGCAAATGGAGTTTGGGTGAATAATTCTATAGAGTTAATTGTATTCAGTTAGTAATGAATGGTTCAAATAAGGAATAGCAAAAAAAAAAAAAAAAAACCTGAAAAAAGATCAATCAGTGCTGGGTAATATTAAATAATAGCATCTAAGGAATAGAACAGTCACAAATAAGTAGCCAAGGGCTCATAGTAAAGTGAGGGAACAAACTCAAAACTCTAGAGAAGCATATATGCCCCTGACAGAGTGGAAGGGTCTTTGGTTTAGAACTTTGTATGAGGCTAAAGGGCAAATAGCAAAACTAATTACTCCAGCTTGGAGTATAAGAGCTGAATCCTGACAACCGAAGGGCAGGAAACAAATCAGGCTCCTGTGAACAGAAAGGACAGACTAACACAAATGGCACACTCTTTAGGAACATGTTAGAGACCCAAAACAGCCTAACCGAGTTTAAGTAAACAGTAAACTGATACAATATGTGATCTGGCATAAAAGAGATGAGATAAATAAAAATAGCTTAACAAAGACAGATAAAGAATCCAATATTGATAACATTTTTAGGACAGTCTATTTAATAACATCTTATAGACAAAGTTTTGGTGTTTGTCACGTTTTAAGATTTGTTTTCTTTTAATAGGTGAATTTATTCCAGCTGGACTTACTGTTAAAACTTATCATTGGTCTTAATTTTATTTGCCTATGTAATATTTTCTTTCTAAATGTTTTCCTATGTTAGGTATCAGGTTTAATGCCAAAAACCAAAACCAAAGAAAAAACCCTTCTTTTGACTGCTTGTGTGTCTTCTAATGAGAAGTATCTATTCATATCTTTCACCCACTTTTTTTTTTTATATTCTTACTGTTTTTTTTTTAATTAATCAATATTTTTTATTATGGTTTTGTGGGGTACAGTTAAGGGTTAGGTGTACAATTATGTTTCATTCAGGCACCCTGTTGATAAGAGGTGTTTTCCCATCCCCAGACAGATATTTGCTACTGTTAATCCCATCCCCCTCCCCCCGCATAGTTTCCCAGTACCGTCAGTCATTTTCTTATAGTATTACATTGGATGTTCAAGGTCCATTATATGAGTGAGAACATGTGATATTCGGATCTTTGTTTTTGTGAGAGGTCACTCAGTATTATAGACTCTAGTTCCATCCAGGTTGCTGCGAAATTCATGATTTTGTTTTTTTTTTATGGCTGCGTAGTATTCCATCGTGTATATGTACCACATTTTTTTAATCCAGTCCTCTTTTGATGGGCAGCATGGTTGTTTCCAGGTTCTTACTATTGTGAACAATGCTGCGATAAACATACGTGTGCAGGTATCTTTTTTATAGAGTGATTTGTGTTCTTCAGGGTATATTCCCAGTAGGGGGATTGCAGGGTCATATGGAAGGTCAATTTTTAGAGCTTTTAGGAATCGCCACACTGCTTTCCACAGAGGTTGCACTAGTTTACACTCCCACCAACAGTGTAGAAGTTTTCCCTTTTCACCACACCATCTCCAGCAGCTGTTATTTTTTGATTTGTTGATAATTGCCATTCTGACTGGAGTTAGGTGGTATCTCAGTGTGGTTTTGATTTGCATCTCCCTGATGATTAGTGAGGTTGAGCATTTCTTCATGTGTCTGTTGGCTGCTCTGATGTCTTCTTTTGTGAAGTATCTGTTCATATCTTTTGCCATTTTATAATGGGGTTGTTTGTTTTCTTCTTTTCAGTACGTTTCAGTTCCTTGTAGATCCAGGATGTTAAGCCTTTGTCAGACCTAGAGTTGGCAAATACTTTTTCCCAGTCTGTAGGCTGTCTCCCTGCTCTCTTGATGGTATCTTTGGCTTTCCAGAAGCTTGTCAGTTTAATAAGGTCCCATTTGTCTATCTTCTCTCTTATGACCTGTGGGTTTCGGGTTTTGTACAGGAATTGGATGCCAGTTACAATTTCCATGAGAGTATTTCCTTCCTTTTCTAAGATTCTTATGGTTTGAGGTTTTACATTTAGGTCTCTGAACCATTTGGAGTTAACCTTTGTGCATGGGGATAGATAGGGGTCCTGTTTCAATCTTCTGCATGTGGTCAGCCAGTTTTCCCAGCACCATTTACTGAATAGGTTCTCCTCTCCCCATTGGTAGGTGGTGGGGGCTTTGTCGAAGATGAGTTGGTTGAGAAATTGAGGTTTTGCTTCTGGAATCTCAATTCTGTTCCATTGATCTATATGCCTGTTCCTGTACCAATACCAAGCTGTTTTGATGATTGTAGCTTTATAGTAAAGTCTGAAGTCTGGTATTGTGATACCACCTGCTTTGTTTTTTTTGCTGAGGATTGTTCTGGCTATTCTTGGATATTTGTGTTTCCAAATGAATTCCTGTGTTGTTTTTTCTAGGTCTGAGAAGAATGTTGTTGGTAATTTAATGGGTATTGCATTGAATTTGTAGATTGCCTTAGGTAAGATGGACATCTTCACAATGTTGATTCTTCCGATCCATGAGCATGGGATATTTTTCCACTTGTTCATGTCAGCTTTGATTTCTTTGAGCAGTGTTTTGTAATTTTCATTGTAAAGGTCTTTCACGTCTCTGGTTAGGAAGATGCCAGA